CCCAACTGGCGCCCCCGACTACTACCACCTTGCTGGACACGCTAGCCTCTGCTTCCCAGGTCCTCAGAATCCCCCAAATCTCAGACTTGCCATCGGTCCTACACCCACCCTCAGATCACTACGCTGCCCAGACCCCTCTTTTGCCCTCTCCCTGCAGCCCTTCCCCACCTGCCCTTTGGACACCCTCCCCTCCCTCTTTTCCCTGTCAGTCCTGTCTGCTCAGGTCTTCCCACCCCTTGCCATTCCACCCATTTATTTCCCTTGTCGCCTTATTTTGAGGGGTGGGTGGGGTAGGGAAGTGGGTGGTTGAACAAGGGGTAGTGGGTTCTATCCGATAAAGAACAGTGAGAGGAAACCTAATCATAGCAGGCCCCCTCCTGCTCCCGATCTTGTTTCGCTCCTCCTTGCCCTTCCCTCCTTGCCTGATTTCGTCTTGCCCCAGCTTCAGGGAGCCATTCCCCTTCACCACTGTTGGAGGGCAGGTGGGAGAGGACTGCTTTGGAGAGTTTGCCAGGCTGTGTCTAGGGCAGCATCCCAGGGAAGGGTCTCTATAATGAAACGGGCCTTGGGAGATGCTGGCCTCCACCCTTCCCTAGGGAGCCTTCATCTAGGTCACCGGGGCCTCCTGACCTTGGTATAGAGGAGCACCTCAGTGGCTCACATTCCACTTACTTGGGGATTGGGCCCTGAGCCCTCACCTTCAGCCAGCAGTCTCCTCCGTCCCTAGAAGAGAGGGTGGGGCAGGCTGGATTCCTTGTTCCCCTCCCCAAGCTTCTCACCCATTAAGAGGAACCTGGCTGGAACCTAGACTATTAGGGGATGGAGACTGGGAGAGTCAGTCCAAAACTCAATCCTTGGGATCCTGGGCCCTCAGACCTTCCTGGGAACTGGCTGGGGTGATGGTACAGACTGCTCTCGCCTCTCCATCCTATTCTGTCCGTACTGTTTTCATACGACTTAGGTTTCCTGGCCCAGATTAGGTTTCTATTTGGGCAGAATTCCCATTCCCCACCCAGCATGTGAGGAAGCCCAGGGCTCATGAGAACCCTGGGGCAGAGTTGGGTGGGGGTGTCTCTGAAAAGGAAGGACTGAGGCGTGGAGACTAGAAGCTGAGAGCAGCAATCTGTCTCCCCTCTCTGATTAAAGCCTGCCTCCAACTCCGTCTGTCTTTCTTTCTGCCAAACACATCATACATTTGTACAGATAAACACACAGCTGAAGATTACACAACCTGACTATCCACAGTGTCAGCAAAGCCCCCAAAGCATAAATGTTGATCTTCAAGTGATACACACAGTAAATGACACTCATTCACAACCGACCCGTGCACAAACTGATGGGAGCCTGTCTAGGACTCATGCATGTACACACACTCTTTTGCTCTTTGACTTTTCCCTGTATGTGACTAGAGCTTTCAAGAAGTTTATGGAAGGTGAAGACAGCCACTAAGAGGGGCTTCTTATGGTCAGGAGCAGGCAAGAGACTGACAGTTGTCACACTGGTTGTCTGGAGTGATGGCTCACTCAGTTATGGCTCCAGCATCCATTATAACCAAAATGGGACAGACATAGGTCAGCACTCAGTTCAACTGGGACCCTGAAGCCCCCTTCCTGATAGTAACTCCAAGCACCTGAAGAAACTCCTGAGGGAGGCAGAGAGAAGATTCCTATTCTATCCCTCATATTGTCTCATGGAAAACCCTAAAACTTGAGCACACAGAGAGAGTTGATAAGGATTCCTGCGTCACCAGCAACTATGTCTTAATGCCTGCCCTATGAAAAATAGGGTTCCGGTCCTAAATTGTTCTGAGAGGTCCCAGCTATTCCTAATTTCTTCAGCCCTGGCTGCATTCCTGTCTCTTCCCTCCTTGGCCATGAGGGTGGAGGGAGAGGAGTGCTCAGAGAGGTTGCTCTGTGCTCCTGGGCCCCTAGCTGTATCCCTTGATAGCAAAAGGCCTCAGGGAAGCTCCTGTCCTCCCCCAGCTACACACCTCATGTGAACTCTTGACTGGAGACTGCAAAGACATCTGCTGACCCAGGGTGAGCAGAGAGGGTTCCCAACCCCTACGAGCCCATCAGCTCTTCTCTGAAGTCCTGCTGATGATGATAGGGAGAGAAGGCCCTGAAGGTCCTGGGCACACTCAGACCAGAGCTATTCCCACTCTCCTCTTCCCTGTCTTAACTGAACCACCAGTTCTCTCCCAAGTTCTTATATGCCTGTTAGAAGCTACTGACTTAAAGAGATTCAGAACCAGCCAGGCAGGTGGCGAGCACTTTTAATCCCAGTACTCAGGAGGCAGAAGCAGGCGGATCTCTGTGAGTGGTGTGCGGGCCCAGCCTGGTCTAAAAGAGCTAGTTCTAGGACAGCCTCCAAAGCCACAGAGAAACCCTGTCTCGAAAAAAAAAAAAAAGAGAAACAAAGAGAGAGAGAGAGAGAGAGAGAGAGAGAGAGAGATTGAGAGAGAGAGATTCAGAACCTCCAGGTTGTGGTGGTGGTGGTGGTGGTGGTGGTGTCATCATCACACGCCTTTAATCCCAGCTCTCAGGAGGCAGAGGCAGGCAGATCTCTATGAGTTGGAGGTTAGCCTGGTCTACAGAACAAATTTCAGGATAGCCAGGGCTACAGAAACCCTATCTGGAAAAAAACAAAAAAGAGGTATTGGGGGATATCCAGAACCAAAGTGTGTTACGGTGCAGTAGGGCCCAGAGACAGGAAGCCGGAAACATCTGTCTCCTGGGACCAAAAGTTGAACTTGGCAGACAGTTGTACCCCAGAGTGGGGCCAAAAGGACTCAGGAGTCCCAGAACCTCTGATGCTTTGGGAATGTCTGTCAGTGGCTATTGTCAGTAGGAGATAGGCTAAGGTAACAGACAGAGTTGAACCCTCATGGTATGTTGAACCAGAGTAAAAGTGCACGTCCAACTTCCAGCTCTGCTGTTAATTCATGGTGTGGCCTTAGACAGACCACTTCTACTTCCTGTGAAATGGGAGCAATGGGGCCAGTAGGGCCAGTGCGTCCTTCAGTTCCTTCCCAGGACTGTGAAGATTGGTCTGGAGAGAACTAGAAAGTTGAGGCTCAAAGCCTTTAAGCATGTTGAAGCCTGAGGCAGAGGGCTTAAGAACCTTGGCTCACCTCAGCTCAGCTGGTGTGGGGAAGTGGGGGTGATAGATGAGTTTGTGCAGCTTCCTAGCTTACTCTACCCAACATTCACAGATGGACCCTGTACAGAAGGCTGTGCTCTCACACACATTTGGAGGACCCTTGCTCAAGACCAAACGGCCAGTCATTTCCTGTAATGTCTGTCAAATCCGATTCAATTCTCAGGTAAGAAGGCCAGCTGCTACCTACTGGTGAGGAGGGTGGGGTGGCCGTGGGGGCTCAACTAAGGGGTGTTGAGAAAGAACAAAGAGTGGGAACCCTGTGGTGGGGCAGGAGTTAGTGGAAGACACTTGAGACAAGTGGTCGCTATGTTTTGGTTGCTTTGTGTGTGTATGTGTGTGTGTTGGTGGAGATTTAGGGCCTTGCACACAGCAGGCAAGTGCTATTACCTCTGGGCTATGTCCTCAACCCTTTTTCTTTTCTTTCTTTTTGGATACAAGGTTCCTTTGTGCAGTCTTGGAATTCACTCTGTAGACCAGGCTGGCCTCGAACTCACAGAGATCCGCCTACCTCTGCCTCCCAAGTACTGGGATTAAAGGTGTGTGCCACCACCGTCCAACCTTTTTTTTTTTTTTTTTTTTGAGTCTGGCTCTTTTATATTTTTTATTTTGAGACATGGCCTTAGAAGTTTCCCAGGGTGGCCTCTAGCTTACTTGGGCCTGGAGAGTCCTTGAACTTTCAACCCTCCTGGCTCAACCTCATAAATGGCTCTGGTTACAAACCTATGCCACCAGACCTGGATATCCATGTGTGTTCCGGCCCCTTTGTAGAGGAAAGTAGACAAATCCTCTAAGGCCAGCTGGCCCCTTTGTCCTTGGGGCTGCAGCATTCCCTATTCAGAATGCCTGGAAAGATAAGAATCAGAGAAGGTGTGTGGCCTGTAGCCTTCCACACTGAAATGCTGAGTTTGGTCTCCTTGGCTCTCCACAAAGCCCAGGCCCCCTTTGGCATCTGCTAAACTGCCCTTCCCATTTCCCTCCTACCTCCCACATAGCCCCTTTCTCCACCCCATTGCTAACCTCCCTCCAAATCATATTGAAACTGGTCTATGCACCTTCCTTTGACTTTGCCCATGAGGAGAATCCCCCAGATTCCCTCCCTCTAAAGCCCCATTAGGACTTCTATTTAGGTCCAGACTTTGTAGGGTGTGGGCCCTAAAAACGGCAGAACCTTATTCTGCTGAGTAGGGGAATCCTATAGGCTGATACACACATCCACAGGCTGACACACACATCCACAGGCTGCTACACACACATCCACAGGCTGACACACACATCCACAGGCTGACACATACATCCACAGGCTGACACACACATCCACAGGCTGCTACACACACATCACAGGCTGACACACACATCCACAGGCTGACACACACATCACAGGCTGACACACACACCCACAGGCTGATACACACATCCACAGGCTGACACACACATCCACAGGCTGATACACACATCCACAGTCTGGTATCCACTGCTGGGCCCTATACACCAAGGCTCTACTATCAATTTTGCTTTCCTGCCCATGTACACCTTTATTTCTATCCCCGTCTAGGTGACCTTTTGACTCCAACATTATACATTCTTAGCTATGGCACAAATGGGAGAGGAGGCTATGGACAGGTGGTGGGTAGATGGAGCCAGAAGCAAACTAGAATCAGGCCTCACTGCTCAGACTCTAGGCATCCTTTCCTCCAACCCTGACTCCATTTGCTGGTGGAGGAACAAGACTGGAGGGATTGAAAGCCAATAACAGGCAGCTCTCTCGTCTTTTTGCCTCCCCTTTACCTCCCCCATAAAGTGTCTCTGTTTTGACAGCTGTCTCTGCTGCTGTCTCCTGTCTCCAGAGTTGGGCTTGAGTCCAGGGTCCTCAGAGGTGTCCACAGAGGCTCCAGGGAAAACAAGGCCTAAGAGGAGTATCAGGACAGCACTAGTGAAAACAGCAGGCCAGGATCGTGGGCAGAAGAACTTAGGCTCTTAGGCCTAGTGTCTGAGATGCCAACTAGTTGCCTGTTCCACCTCCCCCAGTTCAGCATCCTCTTGAAGACTTGAGGATCCCCTCCCTCTACTCAGGACTAGTCACTAGCCAAGTCCTGGGTGTGGTGATGGAGTGTAGTCTGGACTAGGTCAGGATCTAGATTCTCAGGGACTCAAGCTTGAGAAGCTCATCACAGCAATAAGCAGACGTGTCAGCATAGGCTCTACACAGCAGGGGTGTAAGCAGAGCACACTGCAGCCTGCTGAGTCCACCCTGAGACCTGGGGGAGCTCTGGAGGATGTAGTAGATGAAAGGTGATCTCAGACTCTGTGTTCTTCCTCCATCCTTGAAGAGCCAGGCAGAGGCACACTACAAGGGTAATCGCCATGCCCGAAGAGTCAAAGGCATCGAGGCTGCCAAGACCCGAGGCAGGGAGCCTAGTGTCCGGGAATCAGCAGACCCAGCTCCAGCAGGCAGCACCCCCCCAAGTGGGGATGGTGTAGCCCCTCGGCCAGGTGTGTCTGAATCCCCTTCACACTTCTCAACTGATCTCTGTCTTTCTGTTCTTTCCCAATTCCCAGAACTCCCATCTGTTCCTCTCCCTGCTCAATCCCCACTCCCACTGACACCCAAGGTGAGTCCTGGAGCCAGACATAATGATGTCAAAATTCCATCCTGTCACCCCACCCACCCCTGCCTCAGCTCTTTTCAACAGAGTCCCTACTGTCTGTCCTCTCCACTGCCCAGTGACTCAGCGAGGGGCTAGGGTGAGGCCACCTGGCAAGCTTCCCCAGGAACAGGGAGGCATCCATTTGATCCAGATGAAGCCCCTCTATGCTAGCCAAAGGGGATAGGGACATCAGAACCCTACCAGCTTCCCTGGAAACTGAGTCCATGTGCTACAAGACTCCCTAAACGGTCTTAGATGGGTATGTGGACTCCTTGGAGCCAAGTTAAGAAAGAAAAACTTGAAAATCTTTAGGGTCTTTTTCAGCTACCAAGAGCAACTGCATATTTCTTTGCCCCTCATGGATGATGGCCATCCTCAACCATACTTCCAAGGAACTGGGACTGAGGGAATACAGGGACCGAAAGATATCAGCCACCCCCACCCTGGGATTACCACAGATATCAGTCATGGCCAACTCCAGAGAGACCTAACATTCCCCTTGTCCTCATTTCCTCTTATTCTGGCCTGTCCTTCTTGCCCCACCCTAAAAATAATGAGAAACAGACTCTATAGCACCAGTTTAGGATTCAGGTCTCCACTGTGCACACACACACACACACACACACACACACACACACACACACACACACACAGGCATTCAAAGATGTAGGGGCCAGGCCTGATTTCTAATTGTGCTCTGGCTGCTTCTGAGTCTGATCATCTTGGTTTAGTGTATTAACACCTCTGTAAAGTAAGGATGGCCAGAGCTGGTGATGGTGCTAGTTAACATTTATTGACTACTACTGTTGTAGATGCTCGACACACATCACTTCCTTCAGTCCCTGCACACTTTCTGAGGACATGGGGTAGATATTGTACACACACCGCTTTTATAAACCATGACGTCCTGTCCAGTTTGGGATGAGGATGTGCTGTCTGGTTTGGAATGAAGATGAAGGATGTCATGAATGAGTAGGAGACATAAAGGATGGATCCTAGGATGGACAAGCACATACCTACAGGGGTTAGGAATTCTTCCACCTTCTACTCCCACCAAAACCCTCCCCATGACCCGGAAACTGGATCAGCTGTTGGAGCAAGAGTGGGAGTGCTAGAGTTTCCCCTGCAGAAGCAAGAACCCAGTGCAGAGACCTGGGGCCTGTGCATCTTTAATGGAGCCATGAATTATAGAGCAGCCTGGATCCCTGCTTCCTCCCTCTTCGGTTCTTGTTTCTGTTTCCCTCTGCTATGCTTACATCTGTCTTTCCTGACTTTCCCTCCTCCTGGTTCTGCACCATTCTGTTGTTCCTCAGTGTCCTCCTTGAGGGCCAGGAGGGATTTGTGAAGGGGTTGTCCTGGCAGGAAGCCCAGCCTGGCCAGTAGGCCATTGTGGGATGAGTCCTTGGTTTCTGCCTTTCCCCCTGGCTGTGCAGGCTGCCAGCTTTACCCTAAAGGTAGCCTGGTTACTCCTTGGCTATCCTTAGCTTTGGGGGAGTAAGCCAAGCATCGCAATCACACACCCAGCCAGTGGCAGCTGAACGGAATTTGGCTGTGGCCCAGGGCATGAGAACATGCATGTTGTAACAGGGCGGGGACTGGCTCCTGGGCCCTTACCCTCAAGGAAATGGGGGTGGGTCTGCACATGAAGAGCCACTTGGGATGACCCCATGTTTCTTCCCCAACAGTTTCCATGGAGAATGGCCTGGGTCCAGCTCCAGGATCCCCAGAGAAACAGCCTGGCTCCCCATCCCCTCCCAGTGTTTCAGAGTCTGGACAGGGTGTAACCAAGGGTGAAGGGGGAACTCCAGCCCCAGCTTCCCTGCCTGGGGGTAGCAAGGAAGAAGAGGAGAAGGCTAAGCGTCTGCTCTACTGTGCACTGTGCAAGGTGGCTGTGAACTCCCTGTCCCAGCTTGAGGCACATAACAAAGGTATGAGTCCTCTGCTACCCACCAGCCTCCTGTCCTCATGCCACTCCCACCCCACTCTGCTACCGACCTCCCTTGCCTTCTGGCATAGCTGGGTCCTCTATGACCTACCAGCCTGTCTCCTTTCCCAACCATCTCCTCTAATCCTTTGTCTCTTGCTTCCTCATTCACCTTCACCTTCCCCCAGACCCCTTTGTTTTGGGGAGGGGCCCAAAGGGCTCCAAATAAATCCATAGTTATCACTCACACATTATAACTGGGAATGTGGGCATTTGAGGCCTGGTAGGCCTGGAGGATTTTTCATCTGTGCTCATCTCCTGCCTCCGTGGGCCAGGTACTAAGCACAAGACAATTTTGGAGGCCCGAAGCGGGCTGGGGCCCATCAAAGCTTACCCTCGGCTGGGGCCTCCCACTCCTGGGGAACCAGAGGCCCCTTCCCAGGACCGAACCTTCCACTGTGAGATTTGCAACGTCAAGGTCAATTCGGAGGTCCAGCTGAAACAGGTGAGTCCTACACCCATCCCAGGCCAGGGTGTTTGAGGAATTTGACCTATTGAAGGGAAGGGAGCTTAGGTAAGGGCCACTCAAAAGGAAGTATGGGTGGGTGTTTATCTGTGGTCCTGCCTCTGGGGGTTACTTTTTGCTAAAAGCTCACAGCCCTACTACCCAATGCACCGCAGCACATCTCCAGTAGGAGGCACCGAGATGGCGTGGCTGGGAAGCCCAACCCTCTACTGAGCCGTCACAAGAAGCCTAGGGGCGCTGCGGAGCTGGCGGTGAGGCCTGGATACTGGGGAATTGGGCTATGGGAGGACCCAGGAGAGTTGGAAAGGGATCTGGACAAGCCGGCAGAGGTTGGGCTTGCTGGACCACTGGCCCGACCTCTGTGCCCCTCTCTCTCTGCCTGCTGCAGGGCACACTGACTTTCTCCAAGGAGCTGCCCAAGTCCCTGGCAGGTGGCCTGCTCCCCAGCCCCCTGGCGGTGGCTGCGGTGATGGCCGCTGCAGCAGGCTCCCCGCTGTCCCTGCCCCCAGCTCCAGCCGCACCTCTTCTGCAGGGACCACCGATCACACATCCTCTACTCCACCCGGCCCCAGGACCTATCCGAACTGCGCACGGACCCATCCTCTTCTCCCCCTACTGACCTCAACCCTGAATCCCTCCCATTGAATCCCCCACCTCCAGCCGGGACCCAGGTCTCCGGGCTCCCAGCCCGCTCCTCCTCCCGGCGCTCCCTGAATGGTCTCTCCTTC